TTGCCATGAGTGGGTCAACAGTGGCCCACTATCCTCTTGCTGTCTGGGTTTGAAATGTCTTTTTTTTTGTATTCTGTTTCCCTACTGCAGTTTCTAAATTATGCTAGTAGTGTGGTATGTAATGATCATCTAAAAAAGTATGGTAGACTCTCAGCGTTGATATCTGTCAACATCAGTGCTGATCTACTAACATTTTTGTATTTAAAAACCTCAAAATGGATGGAGCTATGCTGAGAAGCCAAGTACTGGTTGAAGCCCCTGGAGGGGAGGCGTGAAAGAAACAGTTACTGCAAGACTTGTTTCAGACCAGCATGAAAACTAATAATAGGAATGGGGGAAAAAATGAATACTCAGATGTGCTGAAGTCAGCGCATCTGAAGGTTTCTGTGACTGAAGCTTTGCTGTATTAAAATAATCTTTAATGTCTGAGCGAGTTAAAATGGACCTTAATGATGGGGACCTCATGGTCCACAAATCTATATGGACCTTAACCCTCAGAAACTATAGCACTGATCTTGTTGTTGGACTTTGTTCTCCTGGGTAAACAACTTTTCATAATCATCACATGGTGGAGTAGCAGTTCCCAGCATTGTTGTGTTTTCCATGTTACAACCAGAGATATTATCAGAAAAAAGAGACCGGTGGTTGAAATAAGAATGGAATAGCTCGAATTACAAGAAGTCCTGTCTTTCAGTACAAAGAGCCAGTCGTGTTTTTATAAAGGCGTAACCAGGAAAAAGCCAAGCCCAGCAGGCGCAGATTTAGGGGCTGCTGTCTTTGCAATAGTCCTGATTGGTTTTTCACTAAACACCAAATAAACATTTGCGTGCAAAATGTTCAAATGACTTGTTTTGCTGATCTTTTAAGTGAAAATATGTGAACACATCCTGTACAGATAACACACTTCTGCACATTTTAATGCACAATGACAATGTTTGTTACTTAACATATTTAACAATATTTAACATAATAGGTTTATATAAAACTTAAAACATGGCCTGTACAAACTGCACATTTTTATATTTTATATGTTAAACTTAAAATAAATAGAAATTGTGCACCAGAATTTGCAGAGAAATACCATATTTATGTTTATTTCCTATAGAGAATGTGTTCACTGTACTTGGTCTTTATACCTCATATATTATCAGAAGATAATGTGCATATATCTTTTGTATTTTTTTTTCAGCTAAAGAGTGCACATTATTCATGTCATTGTTGTCAGATAGTACCAACAGGTCACTCTCCATTTAAACAAGCATGACTCCTCAGGGGCATTGCTAAGGTGCTACTGAGCGGAGTCCCTGTGCTGTTCTGCCAGTGTATTGTTGAGAATAAAGTGGAATTCCACCCATTTTTTTGGAATTTGATATTTTAAATTCCATCGCTCAGATGTAAACAAAGCCATTTAGAGTGTTTTGTTGTGAAATAGTTTTCAGAGGTGGTAGGATTTACAGTGGTAATAGAAAGCAGGGGTCACAATGTCTACAACACAAATATAGGCATTTTATTTACTATCCAAAACCACCAGTGAACCTACACATCATCTAAGGTTTTAAATGTAATGTTGATGATGATGATGATGATGATGATGATAAAATAGAGGTAAATCTGAAAAAAATTTTTTTTACTATTTTGCTTTCCAACACCCTGCATGTACCTCTCTATGGATGGATTTTTTTAAAAATACGTTCCAGGCCAAAACCTGATCTCAGAATTTAGGCAGCTGACAGCATGTACATAAATATTTCATGTAATAACTTTTTGTGAGTAAGCCCACACTACCACTGTAAAATATTCAGACTCTGGAAAGTCCTCTAGAGTGGAGCATTTCACATCGAAACACTTTAAATGACTGTTTACATCTCAATGAATGAATTATGAACATTTTTGAAAAACTGGTGGATTTCCACTTTGTCAATTTGAGAGAAACAGGCTAAAATAAATCTCAGAATCTCTGACCTTTTAATACAGTGATGCATTTTTACTCCTCTTTGTAAAGAAAGTTGTGTAGTTGTGGTTTCATTTGAAAAGCACTGCCTACATGTGGCAGACTAGCATTCTATTCTACTATTTATATAGTAAAGGGGCGTATTAGCTGTAGTAAATCTGTGCCTGCTCGGAATTACTACTGTTAGGCCCACATGTACACTCCTTACAAGAAAAGAGGTTATTTTTAGATTTTTAAAGACGTTTTGAGATCTTGTATTGGGCCTTGTTGCTGATTCTTCACCCATATTGATTAGCACTTTGTGCATGCCTGTTCAGAATGCACTACTGAAAAAGCCTGAGTCAGTATTCTAGAGAAAAAGTGTGATGAGGTTGGTTTTGGCTGGCAGCCTGCTGGAGTTTGATAAGGCAGTGAGATGGGAGTGATGGACTTCACTGAGAGTGGCCAAGCAAAAAAGGGGCTTTCTCGCTTCTTACCTTGTGTTACAGCCATTGTTGGGTTTTATTATAAAGGCCAGAAACTGATTATTAATTCATTAACATTCAGTGTAATAACTGCTAAACTGCTACATCATGCCTGAACCTTCTAGCCACTCACCTGAAGGTAGTAAAACTGTTGCAAAGCTGTTTTTTTGTTCTGTTGTGACTAAAAAGCCAAAATTACATGGTCACACGCAGCTATTTGCAGGCTGTTGGTTGCATGAAGCATAATTTGCATGCAACACATTAGATTTGAACACTGTATCAAATTAGTAGGTTGTATTTTCTTATTCAGTAAATATGATCATATTCTTATTGATGTTCATATTCATGATAATCATCATATTCTCATGCAAAGGTTTAAACACCCCTGGTCAAATGACTTCTGGGTTTACATATTGTAAAAAATTAAAATAAATAAATAAAAATGTGCCATAACTGTTGCACAGGATACAGTTGATGTTTTATTGTTTTCAAATATGTTAAATTAAGCAAATAAACAGTAACTCTGCAATAAAACGTGCAGGTGTGTGATCTCTGTGGAGGAGGTGTACTTACTTTCACCTTCACAGAAAATCAAAAAAGTGTGTCATTTAACAAGCAATGCCCAAACTTTTGCATATGACTGTATATGTACATAGACTCACTGGTCATTTTATTAGGTACGCTTGCTTGGTATCTGCACTCATTGTCCATTGACCTCATTAGACATATAGGTGCACTTCGTAATCTATAATTAAACATATGTTTCTCTGCATACTTTGTTAGCCCACACAGGACCCCCACAGAGCCGGTATTATTTGGGTGGTAGAGTATTGTCAGCACTGCAGTGACAACAACATGGTAGCGGTTAACAATATATATATATATGACTAAGAATATATATATATTCTTTCCACATTGTTGAAACTAATAACTGTATGGGATTTCCCATAATCGGGTTATTTTTTAGGTTCATTTTTTAATCACGTTCAACAGGAAAGGAAAGGAAACCCAGACCACGTTACTGAGTGGCTGTTCTCCTCCCTAGTAGCTATAACTGGGTGATCCTCTTCCTTGCTGACCTTAGAATACATTAATGCTCCCTTTTTTAGTTTATTCCAGCATTCAGCTTTATAAAAGTACAATATTTTATAACAATACAGTGTTCAAATCTATTGCTCTAGTCACAGGCTAATAAGTTACCACACAAGCCAGAAGGTAATATGCATGATACCGTGATATACAATACATCACACTGTATTGTTATATCTGGATTATTTTCATGAAAGTTTAATGTAACAACAGTTGAGTGAATGTTTTGGCGTATAGAGCCAAATTTCTCTACTGTGGTTAATGTATGGGCTGTAATAGTTACTGTAATGCAGGAGCTGAGGCTGAGCTGTAGGTCTTGTCCTGCGGCTGTATATAAAGCTGCTAGTCGTTGGTGGTGTATGTGTAAAAGGGAATGCTCAAGCTGGGAGTGTTTACTGCTTCACTGTAACCAGTGATTACATGTTACAGAGCACAAAGTAGTCCAGGGAGAATTCAGCATAGAACATGATGTTCCTACTGTCACAGTGGTTAAAAAATAGTATATGCATAAGTGTGTGTGTACAGACCTAGGGACACACGCATACACACACATGCACAACATTCTATGTATGCATGGTGCATCTCTAATATGTGCATGCACACTCAGTGACTACATGCTTGACAGCACATGCATGCATATAGAGTATTGTGCAAGCAGACCACCATTTAATTTATTTATTTTGCAGTCAAAATAACCATTAAGTACAAGTAAATAATTTTTCAGCATCAGAAACAAAAGCAGAAAACACATGTTTAACAAAGTTATACAGAAGCTTTAACAACTAGACTTGCTTTCAGTTTTTCAAGGAAATCTGCAGGGTTATGTTTGCACAATTCCAGAGTTGGTTGCATTTTCTGCCTCTCATGATCCAAGTAATCCCATTCAGTGATGTTGAGGTCTGGACGCTAGGGTGGTCAGTCCATTGCTCTGAGAACACCAGCAGCTTCTTTGTCTGATTTGCAGATTCTCTTCTTTTTGGTCTATTTCCTTTTCTCAGTAAGAGCTTCTTGACAGCTACACATCCTTTCAGTCTCATAGTGCTGAGTTGTCTTCTCACCGTGGAAGGATGAACAGAGATCAGAAGTGAGAGTGGAGCTTGATCATCTACTCTCACTCAAAGATGAAAGCTTTAAGTTCTGTTTGTCTGATGAGGACAATTTTGGTGGTCTACCAGGTCTTGCACTGTTGTTAGGTGTCCCATTTTTATGTATCTTTTAATTTTTTTCAACTCACGTTTTGGAAAGTCTTGTACTTATTTGCATTTGACTTTCCCCCCTTTCTTAAATAAGTGGATTATCTTAAATATAAAACCTTTAGAAATATCTCCTGAAAATGAATAACTTGCTTTTTGACTGGAAATTAAATAAATGAAGAGTGGTTTCTCTGCACACACACACACACATGGCACACATATACATGGTTTTGAATATCACAAACAATACAGTATGTACACAAACTTGTATTTACGTATTAATGTAAGTGTGTGTGTGTGTGTGTGTGTGTGTGTGTGTGTGTGTGTGTGCTTCTATGCACGTATATGTGCGTGAGAAGTGTGTGTATGGCTGTTCACCCACACCCCTTCCGCTTTAATGTGGTGCAGAAGTCATTCTGGGTAAAACGCAGCTCACACGCTCATGGTCGCGTGCTATCGCTCCAGTGCGTGTTTCTGGCGGGTTTTCTTGTCACGTTGTTCGTGATTTTTTTTTGGTGCACGATTATAAACTGAGACATTCGGCCTCTATAATCTTGTTGCATGGTTGTTTCCTAAAAAAAGAACCATTTGTATAATTTTTGTTTCTGCACCTGCGGTTAAAAGGCGCGAGAACAAACTGTACTGAACCGTAGTGATATGCGATTCGGGAATGAATCGGTTCTTTTCATTCACCGGTCGAGCCGATTCGCAAGTCCAACTGGATCTTACTAACATGTTGTTTACGTCCGTGTTACATGTTGAACACCTCTAGGAAACAAAAACAAATACATCACAGTGTATGCTCATAGAATCACAACATCAAATATCACATTGTAAGATATCTTCGCTCAGTAAAATGTGTCCGGTTACATTTTTCTGTTGTGTGTTTGTGCTCTGAGCATTCTGAATCTGACGAATCTCATTGTATCTGGAGGAAATGAGAGTAAAGCTGACTTGTTTGAGAGAATGTGCCAGTACAATCAAACTATAAAGATGAACTGATAATAAATGTATTATAATTTAATGCCACAATGTTTTACGTTTATACTGCCAGTTTAGTCGCTTAAACCTTCTACTTCGAGACAGTTCAGTGGTCCTAATGTCTGGAAACCCTCACAACCCGACCGAAAAAAAGAGTGTTTACTCGTGAATTAGTGAATCATTGAATCGTACATTTAGAATGAATCGGTTCGTGAAACGCCTCGCTAGTACAGACTGCGGTGCGTAGTGAAATGGAGCACGTGGGCGTGGCGTGACGTCAGCGCGTTCTGTCCCACCGCCTCACGTGCAGTCGATTCTGAACACTCTGGGTGAGCGTGACGGGCACGTGGGAAAACACGAGCGGAGAAACGGTGGAAAAGTACAGACAGAATCCAGACTGTACCAGCACATTCAACTCTACATAAGGAGTCCAGTAATTATTTAGGGCACATATAGAAATAAAATAATTGTAAAAAATATATATATATAAATAGTATAATCGGTAATATGTAATATAATGAATAGATGATGATACTATGTTGTTACCTAAAACTAATTATACTATAATTTATTTAAAATATATATACCAGCCATAACATTAAGACCACCTCCTTGTTTCTGCACTCATTGTCCATTTTATCAGCTCCACTTACCATGTAGGTGCACTTTGTAGTTCTAACGTTACAGTTACAGACTGGGGTCCATCTATTTCTCTGCATACCTTAACTCCCTTTTCCCCCGAGCTTCAGTGGTCAGGACCCCCACAGGACCACCACAGAGCAGGTATTATTCAGGTAGTGGATCGTCCCCAGTACTGTAGTGGTTGTTGTGTGTTTGAGTGTGTTGCGCTGGTACGAGTGGATCAGACACAGCAGTGCTGCTGGAGTTTTTAAACACTGTGTCCACTCACTGTCCACTCTATTAGACACTCCTACCTTGTCAGTCCGCCTTGTAGTTGTAAAGTCAGAGACGATAGCTCATCTGCTGTTGCACAGTTTGTGTTGGTCATCCTCTCGTCCTTCATCAGTGGTCACAGGACTCTTCCCATAGGACGCTGATGGTTGGATATTTTTGGTTGGTGGACTATTCTCAGTCCAGCAGTGACACTAAGGTGTTTAAAAACTCTAGCAGCTGTGAAGTTATAGTTGGTTGATTTATATATTATCAATGTATGTATTAATAAATACGTGATCAATATTATTATGAGAAGAACTAAATTTTTTTTTTTGAAGCGTCGTACGACCGGACTGACTTAGTATATTAGGTGCTTACTGTCTTTTGTCTCCGGTTAGCGATTGTAAAAAAAAAAGGATTGAGTGCGTTTGTATCCCCTTTTCTCTCCACTTTCCGCACGTTTCAAGGATTCACGATAGCTGACCAGTGGGACATCGAGTAGAGTATTTGCCCCGCCCTCACTGGAGATCATTGGCTCGAATGAACGCTGCCTGCTTAATATTCATGAGTTAAGTCACCGATGGCCAGTGGACGCTTTAGTTTTGTCTTAGGGCGGCGTTCGTCTCATGAATATGTAACGAATTGGAGCCTAACACGGTGAAGTGGGGAGCAACGGTGTTGTTTAAGCTAAGGCTAGAAAAATAAGGCAGATTTAGCCGCAACGGAAGATAAGACTGCGTCGAAACGGTTTAGTTGTACTCTCGTTATTTACTTCTTCACGGTAGGACCACTGCAGTGTGAGAGCTATGCCTGGACAAACGACGGTTAACGTTTCTGTGGCTGTTGCTCCCAGCAATGATCCGCAAAAATCGTTCCCCTTTGTTTTGAAGAAAATCATGGATATTCCTCCACCTAATATACTCGACGACGGGGACGATGGTAAGTTTTCTGGGCACATTATGGTGATTTTGGCCTGGCAGTAAAACCCTCAGGCCTTGCATATGTGCGTTTTCGTGTGGTCTGTTAATGTAATACGAGTGTGTCCGTGTTGAGTAGCAGGCTAAGCTAGCCGAACGCCTTAACCGTCACCGTCCAAAGTTCATTCTGTCGTGAAGTTCATTTTGGATGCAGAGCTCTGTTTGTTGGGTTTTTCTGTGCCGTGCGCACTAATCTCCTTTGTGTACATGCTTTGTGTTCTTTAGTCAGCTGTCGAAACCCTAGAATGAAGAGAAACTGTGAGAAACAGAGAGAGAGTTCAGCCTTTTAATGCAGTATCTGCACTTCCTCCTTCTGGCGTAACAGTGACATTAGCTGTTCCAGAAAGAACATGAAGTCCTGTCCTCAGTTTTTCTTCTGCTAGGTTCCTCTTAGTGGTCCAAAAGCCTCGTCTATAACCTGTAACACGTTAAGAAAATGGGTATCCCTGGTGCTAGACTGATAGCAGTTTGCTCTGAGTCAGTGTTGTTCTTTAGTTAACCTACAGTAGCTGATACTCTGCTAAGAGTCTGTTGCCCTTGGCCCAAGTTTGCACAGCCTGCGCTCTTTCTGCGATTTAGCAGGTCATCCTTCACTTTTACACATTACTTTTGGATCTTCTGCCAATAATTATACCCTTCCACCGTCATTCACTGTCAAGATTATGATCACTCACTGCATTAGGAAACCTGTTCAGTATCTCCTCAGTAGTTTTTAATTGGAATAACAAATTTCTCCATAATCAAATCGTTAAGATGTAAACAGTCATTCATGGTGGTCTAATATGAAATGCTCTGTTCTAGAGAAGCGTAGAGAGTAATTGTTCACAGCAGTGGTGATAGGAACCAAACTTGCAGAGCATGCAGAGTCTCTAAATGCTGTATCACAGTTTAATCTTATAGTTGTCCTCAAATTTACTAACATCCTTGACCTAAGCAGTTTTAAATTTCTCAGAAATGAAGTTTGGTAGGAAGTATGTTTTCGCCAACTCCCATGTTTTGTGAGCTATTGGATATTATAAAATTTCATGTTGTAGTGACCACTATTGGTCGAAACAAATGTATGTTGTATGTTGACATTTCTGATGTTTTATACAGCTAAAACAGGCTGGGGTTAGACTGACCTCAGCGTACACTGAGGCATATAAAGTGTGTACAGACCATTGAAAACATATCATGTTAATTTTGTGTTCACCCTTTTGTCCCCATTAAATTAGGAAAAGTCATTAAATATGAAGCAAAAATATGTCCATCCTTTATTTAGTGATGTTAAACATTGAATAGGGTCAAAGATAATAAGAGGGTTAAATGAAATGGTAACAAATAAACTGCCTGATGTCTGTTTTATGAAAGTTTTAAGAGAAGGTTTTGACCTAAAACATTTTCTAAAATCTTCTTCGAGTTTCTCTGTAATGAACCATTTCACCTTAAACTGCTCTGAATGACCTTGTTTACATGTCACTGATTAAATTATGAAGAAATGTAGAAACATTCAGTGGAATTGAATTTTAACAGTGCTCAATTTGTCTGTTGATGTTATTGGTGGTGTATTGGAAGTAGATCTGTATCTTGTGGTGGTCCATTCCATATCCATTAAATATCTTTCTAGTGGTGTTGTATTTTACTGCTTGCATTGTAATGCTGAATATCTGATGCATTATTGGTGCTTGCAGAACTGTCACTAGTATGCCATGATGTTCCCTTGCAAATGGCCTAGAACATGATCAGGGACTACCGTGAGAAGTCTTTTGCTTTAGTAATCTTAACTAGTGATGCATTAATAGAAATTTTTTCAGACTGAATAGTTACTTACCAATAAGGTTCTAAGTAGCTGTTAGTGTAATTGAGTCCTCTAAAGTCAGACATACACTGTACAAGTTTAGAAATCTTGTTCTTTGGTGACTCACACTGTACGTTTGAATAGAACATTGTGCGTCGGGCAAAGCCAACTATGTATGTATTCACATTGTATGAAAATGCTTGGTCTGATTGAAATGCTACATGAAACACACAGTGTAGGTCAGGTGGGAAACTCCGTAGGTAAAATGTTTGAAATGTCCATCGACTTGGCGTCTGATTGTCACTGTATCGGCATCTCTTGTACGAGAAGACCTTCGGTCAGTGCCAGCTTGAGTCATTTGTTCGTAAGGGAGGCATACGTCAAATGGTACTGGGTGGTATCAGATGTTGGTATCATTTTAATGAGTGCGAGTAAATGAGCACCGTATCAGGCTGATATCCAACACCTGTATCGGTACTGATGCATTCCTAATCTTCACAACCTTTTGTTCTCTCACATTGAAAGCACTCTGCATTGTATGTACTTTTAGTTAGAAATAAAAGCACTAAGCTTTGTCATCAAGCTGTGTCCCCTGTATTTGTTTTCAAAGATTTTGATGAACTTGGGTAGTTCTTTGTTTATGCTTCAGGCTTGTGTATAGTATTGCAGGATCCACAAGACCACAAAGGATACTTGGACCAGCTCAAACATTTGTACATGAAACATTTAGCCTGCATTTTCACAAACAGCAGTGAACTCGGTGACCATGGAAGAAAAAGAAAAGACCAATTACTGGTTTATTTATACACAGGGATCTTTCAGTGAACTGTGGTATTTCATAATGGAGTAAATTTCCAACCTCAGCTGATTTGATTTGATTATAATTCATTGCACCATGAAATCCGTACACCACAATTTGATTAAATTTGATAAGTTTGGTACGAGAATAATTTAAAGGGCCTGTATTCTACATTTTTATTAAGGGCCCCTTATGAAGTTTGTGTGGTTTTATTTTTAATCCATTTCTAAATGACTCTTTTCCAACCTCTGTTTAGCTCTTAGAAATAAACTGCCTGTTTTTGTTACTGTGCCTTACATATGACTGATATTCAAAAAGGAGCTCAGACTGAAACACTCTTCATTAACTTCAGCATGAATGGGTGGGGCTAAACTGCTATAGATTGAATAAGTGAATAAATATAAATGTGTTGGTTTTCATGACATCATAACACTGAATTCCAAATGGACTGTTTTCTGCATCGCAGTTTCCATATATGGACTGGGGAATGAACAAGTTTTGAAAATGTATTGTTTATATACAACGTCAAACTCTTTGATTTACAGAAGTAAGAGGTTTGATTTTCCATGAAATTGGCCCTTTAAAAAATCACTGAATGCTCAAAGAAGACAGTGAAAATGTGAGCAATATACCAAACCTTTTGTTTTGGTTGGTTGTTTGTAAAACTGGCTTAATCTTTTAGTTGGCCAAAAAGTGAGCCCACACTATATTGGATATCATTTTAATTGGTTTAAGGGTGTAACAGTTTAAGTACATATAAAAAACACTGAATTTACTGAACTGTCGGTGATCAAAAGTAAGTGCAGCCTGTCAGAGTAAAGAGCAGTGGGAGGGGGTTGTTGGCACACACTTATGCTCAAATTATCAGGGTTTTTATAAATCAAGTATAATTTGCAACGGTTGTTTTGGGGTTTTTGTTAGATGGTTTCACGTCAGCTGCTGAAAAGTTCTGAACTTTCAGAACTTTTATTAGTCTGAGCCAAACAAGTCAGTAGAGTTTATAGAGTATAGACACATTTAACACCTGATATATAAAAGGTTGAATAAATGTTGATCTCAGAACTGAAAATTCTACTGAAACAATGCATACTGAAAATGTATGCATTGATGCGTACAGTTCACATGCACAAATGCTGTGAGAAGAACTGAAAAACAGATAAATATGACAATTTTCAGAAATTTTAGGAAAAATAAAACAAAAAATGTAATACCTAAACTTTTGCACCGGCCACATTTTATGTTGGTTTAGGCAAATAAAAAATAATTGTATTGTGTTGCATTATAATGTACAAAACTGTTTTCTGTAAAGAATGTTAACTTATTTTTACCTAGAAAATCAAAACATGTTTGTCCAGAGCAACTAAAATTTTGTTTGTAAATGTATATCTTAACACCACAGTATCAGTTCGAGTAGAATTATGTGTGTCTTTATATTACATACAAAAAAACTGAAGGCGTCATTGCTTGATACATTTTTACACCTCTAGTTTTTGACTTGCGCTAACTCACTCCCTCTTTTTTGATCTTTGGTCACAGAAATCGAGAAGGAGAAGTTGAGCTCCAATGGAGATGGGCAGTCTCGTGGAGATGGAGGTGGAGGTGGAAGTGGAGGGTCAGGGGGTGCAGGCAGTGTTTCAGCCTCCCTAACTCCAGCCATCTGGGACAAAACCATCCCGTATGACGGGGAGAACTTCCATCTGGAGTACATGGACCTAGATGAGTTCCTGCTGGAGAACGGCATCCCCGTGGCTTTGGAGGAGGAGCTGCAGAAGAGTCTGGAGCAGGAGCGTCATGGCAGTGAAGCTCCAGCATCTTCCACAGCAACCCCAGAGACCTCAGAGGCCTCAGCGGCCCCGGAGGTGGCCCCTAAAGTGCCTGAGGAAAAAGAGAAAGAAGCAGACAAGGAAAAGGAGGAAGAGAAGGAGAAAGAGGAGGAGTGTGAGAGTGATGCGGCTGAGCTGCAAGTGATGGAGAATGCCACAGGTGAGGTGGATTTCGAAACGTTCGAGTCCGTGTTTACAATAAACTAATAAAATGTTTTGGTGACTATTTTATCCTGTTTAAATCTGCAGACTATTATTGTGTGTTTAATACAGCAAATATTAAAATAAGTGATTCCAAACATTTGAACAATAGGATGTACTCCTGTCAGTATGTAACACTTTTTTGGTTACTTTCTTTTTTTCATGTTTAGTTTAAGGCCCCCTTTGTGGAAAAAAATAAAATTAAAACTCATTAAGTAGAGATAAAACTTTTGAGATTTTTCTGCAGCCCCCTTCACACACTCCTGCAGCCCCCCAGGGAGTCACATTCCCCAGTTTGATTACTGCTATTGTAAACATGTGAATGTGATTTTCTGTTTCTTTGATATAGGGATGTAAATGATTAACTCATTAACAGTTAACTTATAAATGAACAGTTGTTTTGGCCAATGCTATCAGTTAAAAAAGTCTAATTACATTTTTAGGTGGTCTCACCATTTAAGTTAAAGAATGATATGTATGAAGACACAGTAGGCAGTTGACTCTGTTGGATAGGGCTACTAAAAATGTAGTGTGCAGCTACGAATGTTGGCATTCAAACCACTTTTCGAGAGGATGATAGCACATTTTAATATCAAAAGCAAGCATCTGCAAGTGATGAGTAAGATAAGTAATGAGTGGTGAATACAACCAGTGGTAAAAACAACAAAGATACTTTACAATATAGAACTTTCAGTAGTCCATCAATATATATTTCAGACATTCAGTACTACCTTCCACAGTCCATACACATTTTATTTTAATGGTGCATTAATACAGAATGCACTTGATGTTTGTGCTCATAAGTGTGCTGAGAACGTAGCTCTGCCTTTCAGCTTTTAGACTTGGAAGTTTCTGTTTTATAATTTATCCTTTGATGGGTTGCATACTTGTTAGGCTTGTTTTTAATGATTAATCTCCAACTAATAACTGTCGCTTAACAGTCAAAAGAATTTGCTAAAAATTTGCCAAAATTTGCATCCCTGATTTGACACCAACTGGTTCAATCATTTGTTTCATTAATTGGTTCTAAATATTGTATTAACTATAGCTGTTCATAGTGGGCTCATCTAAATGTTTTCTGTTGTTCAGTCTAGTCCAGATGTTTTTGAGAAATATTTACTGAATATCCAACTTCAGAAGCTTCCTCTTCGGTGGTTTCCTTCATGGTGGAAACATCCCTGGAAGTAGACTCTTAAATGTTTTTCTTGTGGTAGATCTAAAACCACAGATTTCAAGTGCAGATACTTGGCTGTTACTTCAGAAACTAAGGTACACTTGCCTTTACACTAGGGGTGGGCAAAATGACAATATTTACAGGAAAAACTAAATATTGTGATGTATTTTGAAAATGTCTTGAAGTATCATATGTTTTTTTTCCACATTGCTCAGCCCTGCTTTGCACTGACCTTTTTTGGTTAGAGTGTAAATCCACAAAGGCAGTGTTTGTAAATCCTTTTGGTTCTTGTCATATCATATTTCAGTCATATGATCCAAAAAATTATTTGAATCTCTTTTAGGCAAAACCATTGATTTACATTCCTAAATTGCTTGTTTTGAGCTTACTCTAATAACCCTCTTTTCATCAGTGTGATTTTTCCGTCAGTATCCTTAATTGCTTAAAACAATTTGTTTAGTAAATTCTTTGCAGTATAAGATGTTTTGTCCACTGTTTTGTTAAATAAGACAGCCATTTTATTATTATGACTAAAATTGTAGTAGTCATTCATTCAGAAATCTAGATTATTCTATAGGTTTACCAACTTTTTCGCAACAGCACTAATAAAACTTTAATCTGTACATCAAGGGAAACATTTAGCACCTTCACAAACCTGTTTACAAAGTCAGTGTCACGTTTTTCTGTACACATGCGACAACCCTTTAGCACCCATAAAAATATCATATTCTGTGCTTCTGCCTCATCACATGCATTTATGGTATTTTCCTTTTCAGAATGATAGTGAACTGATAATTATGTGCGCTGTTTAATGTCTGAGAAAAACTTGTCTTATTTTTGGCTTTAACACGGCTGCCATTGTTGTTGCTCAGAGACACTTTTGTCAGCAAAATGGATGCCTGTTTCTGCCAGATGGAAAAAAAAAACTTTGGTGTTTATTTTTTTTCCTGTTTCTGGAACAGTATGTCTCAAATTTAGAGTTTATGTTTGACATCTTCAAATTTTTTATTATTATAAACTTATTTTCATAATTTTGACTTATAAGCTTACTTTCTAGAAGAGTAATAACTCTGTCTTCATAAATCATTATTTCTACTTACAAAATCAAAATTTCAAGAAAACAAGACATTATTTTGAAGTCAAGCTTTTGACATACGAAGTCAAATATAAACATATTTACACTGCCAGAAACAATAAAAACAACTAGTGATGTTTTATCCTGTCTGGCTGAAAAAGGTTTCCAACACAGAAAGAATGTGGGGGTGGGGGGGATTATATCGTGCTGGTCATATGGTAACTAAAAAGTCATGCCTCTCTCTCTCTCTCTCTCTCTCTCTCTCTCTCTCTATATATATATATATATATATATATATATATATATATATATATATATATATATATATATGGAAGGTCATAATAGATAGCCCACGAAATTGGCCAACCCCAGCAGCACAGATTAGCGCCTATTTTAGTAAATCTGCCCCGAGACTGTTCTGATATCAGGGACAGTGATGTTGGATTTACTAAAATAAAAAATGATTTGCATGTATTCTTCTTCTAGAGCCCAGAAAGGATTCGGACCGAGTGACTCCATCTCCAGTTAACCCAGAGGACATCGAGGTGAATGTGAACTTCCAGCCAGACCCAACAGACCTGCTTCTATCCAGTGTTCCTGGAGGCGAGATTTTCAATCCACGGAAACACCGCTTCAGTGAGGAGGAGCTCAAACCACAACCCATGATCAAAAAGGCTAAGAAAGTCTTTGTTCCTGAGGATGCCAAGGTGAGACTCGCATTTTTTGTTATCAGTAACTGTTGTTAGAGGTGCACTGTATGGCCAAATGTTTGTGGGCACCCAAACATTACCTCCTGCTCTATATGTGATAGTTGAATGCCAAATCATTTTTATTCCTTCTCCACCGAACAGCTGGCATTATGCGTATTCTCCTTCAAATCAATATTGGTTGAGAGACTTGGCTGATACAGTGTAGTGGGTATAGTTGTTTGGTGTAGTGTAGTGGGTAACACCTCTGCCTTCTACGCTGTAGGCTGGGGTTCTGTCCCTGGCCTCGGCAGGCACCTACACTATACCAATAAGAGTCCTTGGGCAAGGCTCCTAACACTACCTTTGCCTATCTGTTTAAAAAGTGATGAATTTGTAAGTCGCTCTGTATAAGAACGTCTGCCAAATGCCGTAAATGTAAATGTAGACTGCCAGATGGTGGAGCGAGACTCATCACTCCAGAGAAGATGTTTCCACTGCTCCAAAGTCCAATGGTGGTGTACTTTGCACCACACTAGCAGACATTTGGCATTGTGTGTGGTGATTCTAGGCTTGAATGGCTGCTCAGCCATGAATGTTGCTTCCAGAAGCAGTTTGGAACTTGGTCACAATAACAGCACTTACAGTTGACCAGGGTAGCTCTAGTCAGGCAAAAATCTGACAGCAAACTTGTTGGAAAGGTAGCATCCTATGACCATACCACATTGTAATCACTCACCTCTTCAGTACGACTTATTCTACTGTCAGTGATTCATTTGCGGCATGACTGCTTGATTTTTATGCACTTATTAGTCTGGCATAGTTGAACCCAGTAATTAGAATGGGTATCTACATACATTTGGCCAAGTAGTGTATTTACAGTAAAATGATTCATCATTCTGTTCCTCAGACCACTATTGGCAGAAAAGACTTGAACTTTGAACAGCTGCTACTTTGGTACACTAAGTGGCGATATAGGCCTTTTTACTCTTTAGACAAGAGAGGAGAAGTCTAGCCATTCGCTTATAACAGCATAAACCAGTGAGACAGTGAGCAGACCTAGGTAGATAAGTATTTTTGTGATAATTATGGAGACTAAAAAAAAACAAAGTTTTAGAAAAAATATTTCATATCACAGAGAGACTGTGATGAAAAGGCTGCACGTCCACTACAATATGGAATCGGTTTAGTTTTCTTAAATCAGAAATAATCAGAATAAAATGCTATTCAGACCTTAAATTGAACATTGACAAATGCATATAACAACTAGTGCTAATTGACGACATTGAATTATATGGAAAAATATATAGCAATGAGATTATTGGCCATATGTTCCAACCCTGGTCTGCGGACATGGGTTGCAGCAGGTTTAGCTAGACTGTAGTGTATACAGAGGGCCACGGCCTTTGTGAAAGAAATGGAACAGAAATCTCAGCAGTCAAATTTGAATTTCTTTCGATTATTCGAATAAATCCAAAACTCATAAGCATGAGCTCAACTTGCTAAATTTGTTCTGAACAGTTTCGTGCCTGCATGTAAACACACTTGCCAACTAGCTCTAGAACTGGACTTTTGCAGAAGGTCATTAGGAAGTGAGCTGCATTTTCTGGTCAGACAATGGCATCTATGTTCTACAGGCAAGGACGTCTCATTCTTAATCTGAAGTCTCATGAACAGATTCCATGTGATATTGATTTTTTTTAAGCACCTTTATACTTAAGACAACATTCACAGGCAAGCAGCTTTTTAACCCATTCATGTCCAACAACAAAACTTAGTATGACGAGGAAAAATGCTACAGAATTTGTTCTGATTGGTCTAAAGCAGGGATCTCAAATCTTAACAACCTGCAGCCACACCTGGCATTTTAATTCAGTCAGACAGCAGCACATCTTGTGAAGTGGTAAGGCGAGGCTTACCCCATCACCAGTGAATACCATCCCTTGCACTATAAAATATGTGTGTGTATAGATGTACTTACCTGTGTCTGCCTGTGAAAGGAGAATTAGCGAAAGGGGGACAGCAGGGAGACCTACGTACCTTATCCTTATCGGGAGGATCCACCGATGGGGAGAAAGTGGGGGGGGTCTATTCCTCATCTAATATCCCGTGGGAGGAAAAAGAAAATAATTAAGTTGTTATAAGCTAATGGGCCCAGACAATGTATATACCGGTAACGAATTGTTTAACCTAGGTTGTTTGTATATAGCGCTGTCATTTGTTTCATGTGTAAACCACACTGTTGTAACCTCATGGTGGGGGATGGGATCTCCGAAGGTGGGGCTTTGGACTTAAAACCCGAGGGTTCCTAAGAGAGAAGGCTGCTTCTCCCCATGACTCTGTTTGACCAAAAAACACTAGCAGCTTGTAGTGGCTTAAGTAATGGTGTGGGGGAAGTTATAAAGGGAGTTGGGACCCAGCCTCGCGGCTGCTTCCCATGCCACGACTAAGCCTGACGCTTAGTATATATTGTAAATACTTTCCGTTTGTTTTTCGTTTTGTACAGTTTTTTTTTCCTGTTTTCACATCGTGTAAATAAACTGCTTGTTCGTGCACTCTACTTTTAGTCTTGCTCATCCTATTGGTTGGCTCACCCTCGCAGACCTTACCAGTAAGCCACACGTAAAACCCAAAATCCTCTTCACAGGGTTTAACATCTTCACACATCTGATTCCACTTGTTTGATCAGTTGGTTTCGAACAGCTGATTAGTTGTGAGATGATCATCTGCTTGGTTGGAATGATAACCTGCAGCTAGTTTGAATAAACGTCGGTAGGCACTCCAGCCCTTTACAGATAATGATACCTCTGAAATCATTTTTGATTTTTTTATAATTATTTTTTTTTATTATTATTTTTGACACCTTTTAAATTTAATTTATCTAACTAGGTTTTAGATTTTTTTTTAATTGGTTTGTTAAATAGTAGCCCCGTATGGCCAAAACATTGATTGAAAGTGATAAATGAAGCGCTAAAATCTCACTTTTTACCAAATTATTTAATCAGTTCAGCAGTACCTTTTAGATTTTGGTTTAGGCAAGCAAAAATGAAGGAAGTTTAAAGACTTTCACATAAGATGGTTGTCTAAAAGCACCATCTTCTAACTGCTCAAACTATATGTACTACCCATGCTACCCTAATTAAGCCTGTTGCAATTGTTACATAATTACCTGATCACAATTATTTGAGCTGATCGCAAACTAATCGCAATTATGTTTACATCGCCAAGAACAGAATGTGATTTGGAGTTGTTTTCATCAGCTGGGTTGAGGAAAACACAGGTAAATACAAGAAAGCAGAAAGTACATTTATTAAGACGTTATGAGTCATACAAAAACAACAAATATTTCTTCTTCTGACTGTTACTTTAAAACCTGTAGGAGGAAGTGGTGAGTAATGTTTGTTTGTTTGAGCTCAGGTTGTGTCCGTCTTCATTTGGGAGTGTTGGCAGCTGGAAAGCAAGATGGCTAAACAGCAAATTTGGCCACTTTAAGCTTGTATTTTTTGCATATAATGAACAAAAAAGAATAATTAATTGCAATCATTTATATGGTAATTAGTCATCAGCTAAAATTTAATCATCATGACAGGTCTAACCTTAATGAAAAATCACAGCAACTCTTTACAAAAAAACACCACTAGCAGTGTAAATCTGTTAACTTATACAGGTCATAGTAACCTAACAGTACTGGGAACCGTCTATTCCGAGACTCTCCCTGATACTGTGTTTCGCCTGGACATATGTCACTGTGTGAAAAGGACGTTAAGTCCTCGAAGCATCGGCCTGCTAACTGGTCAGTGAGCTGGCATCATTCAATATGTGTACAGTAGACTCTTATTCCCACACCAGAACTCAATGTCTCTATAATTTGTGAATGCAAGTCTTTGTTCCATTCAAACTCTCAAGCTGTGTGACTGCTAGCAAATCAAAGTACTGGATTAGCAACAGCAAATCAGAAAAGCCAAGAGCCCCTGCAGAGAAAGGGTCTATAAAGAGAGAGAGCCCTGAGGGAAATAGTTTGTGTATAGGTTACAGAGAAAGACTTTGTGGTTGGTTTACAGAGTTGGGTTACGGTCAGTGTGGAATGCAGCATTTTAGTGTAGGATATATAAACGAACCATACAGTCCTTTAATTCATGATCCTTGTTAAAAAAAATTATTTATATATATATATATATATATATATATATATATATATATATATATAAAATATAGTAGGAGGAAAGACAATTGCATGGAAAACTTATGGAAGTTCAGATGCTCTAATGATTAAATCTAGTGTCTTTTTAGTCTCACTTTTAAGGTACAACTTCATGAACTTGTGTATTTTAATTATTCCATTAGAGATTTTATTTTGTTTATCTAAATTGTTTTTATTTTATTTTTTTTACATAATTTGGAAGTCTTATCTGCTTTACATCAAAATTAAATAAAAATGATCCTATCTAGTTCCAATCACAATCTGCTACACCTGCTCCTGATAATTACCCTGTTTAGATGTCCAAGGTTGACTGGATCAGATATGTTAGTGTTAGGTGAGAGGGCCCAGCATGGTAGACACAGACTGGAACTAAACTTTGCAGGAAAGTAGATTTTCAGGAGGAGCGTTGTTGACTGCTGGTATAGAACCCTGCAGAACCCTTATGTGGAGGTTCTTTAACCTTTAGAAAGGCTCTTCACACTCACGTCTCATTTACAAAAAATAGTTATATAACAGTCATCTATTGAAAGGTTATTTAAGGAACCCAAAAATGGTTTGTCTATCATTTTTGCTCCAAAGAACCCTTTTTGGCACCTTCAAAATTGACCTTTTTTTAGACTTTATATTTAAAGGTCAATGTTCTTATTTTCCCATAATATTCTATCAAAATGTAATGACCTTTGCCTGACTCTAAATTGTCTTCTGATTCTGACTGGGGGGGAAATAGTAGAAATGCTCTTTACTAGTTTGGTAATTCGCTCTTCCACACATTAACTGAGATCTTACACAATTTCCTCTGTTGTCTTCTGTTTGAGAAATGAGTAACAATTCACTCTTTCCACTAAACTCTTGGTAAAACTGGGCAAGTTTTCGGATTCACAAATATGCTGTGGCTTGTACAGTTTTTCAGAGGTATTCCTGTGCTTGGTTACAGTTGCTAGGCTATGAAGGTCCAACTAGGTGAATCAGTTTCCTGTAGCACCACCCTGAGGCAAACCATTGCTGCATCTCTAGTTAGTGAAGAGTACCAAAGACAGAACGTCACAGACTGTGGATGAAGTGGGTGAACAGTGACAGCATGAAATCATAAGTTTATTTGCAGGGACCCCCTAGAATTTTGATACTGCTACTACTTAGCTGTATATAGATAGCATAACCCAGAATGTCTTTCATAAATATTTGTCTTAAATATCCTTATAAATTAATCAGATCTTTTTGAAAATTTGGTGGAGTTCCCCTTTACCCTGAATGATCCGAATTGGCTGTCTGTCAACAACTTGTTGTAGGCTGGCTGGATTTTACCATTTACCTCTCCCTCTCTCTCTGTGTCTCTCTCTCTCTCTCTCTCTCTCTGTCTCTCTCTCTCTCTCTCTCTCTCTCTCTCTCTCTCTCAGGATGAGAAGTACTGGGTGAGGAGGAAGAAGAATAATGTGGCGGCGAAGCGCTCCCGTGACGCACGGCGGCTGAAGGAGAATCAAATCGCAGTGCGGGCGAGTTTTCTGGAGCGGGAGAACGCTGCGCTGCGGCAGGAAGTGGCTGATCTCCGGAAGGACTGCAGCCGCTGCAAGAAGATGATGGCCCTGTACGAGGCCAAGTTTGGCCCACTGTAAGGGACAAACGTCAGCCAGACGAACACTGAGATTAGGGAAAAAAAAAAACACCACCAACCGAACTCCCAACTATTTACACTGTTCCAGATATGATAGACGGGGATTGTGGGTAAATATAGGTGCAGGGTGACACGGTAATGTGAAGAGCGGCTTGCTCGGACACACTCGTGCAGTTCAGATGATTTTTACAAAAGCAGCGTTAAGTCATAAAAAAATGCAATTTAAAAACAGCTTACTTACGCAGATGAAATGTAGACCAGAACATAGACCCGTCAGTGGAGTTTCAGAGACTGCTGTGGAGTCTCTCAGACATAAAATACGTGCAGAAAAAGAGAAACTCACTACAGAACATTGTAACAAACAGACGGACTGACACATGTCCAAACACCGGACCAAAGCATGAATGAATCCAAAACCTAACTCTCATGACCTTTTGACCCCTGTCCCGGGCAGCTGACTGTCTTTCTCTCCTCACGTGAAGCTCACGCTCCGACGTGGCCAGAAACGGCACATGAAGGGCAGATTTATTGATTTATTCACAACGAGCGAGAAAGGGACACTCTCCATACGAGCTGAAGGAGGGAGTGAAGAAGAAGTCCTAACAGAGGACAGGAAAACGGAGTGTGTGTGTGTGTGTGTGTGTGTGTGTGTGTGTGTGTGTGTGTGTGTGGTGTTCATGACGACCATGACCTCCAAATTCTTATCTTTTAGCTCTTTTGTTCACCATACTGGAATGTACTCAGAGATTGTGTGTGAGTGTGTAGTGTGTTTGTTTTTCTTTTTTTTCCTTTTTCTGAGTTTGTGCTCAGTTCAGTGTGTTTGAGTATGTGTGTACTGTATGATGATACATTGGATTTTTTTTTCCCACAGTAACATGTGGGCAGTTAGTTCTTAGCACAGACAGAAGCATGACGCCAGTACAGCTTCTACACTTGGTGATGGAGTCTTGGATGCTGGGATCGTAGCAGAGTCGGGCAGGGACTGTTATTTTCATGGAGGTTTCGAGGGCCGGAGGTTTACTCCAGTGCATGCAGTTACTAAACGTCAGGGACAGCTGTGTTTCATGTATGGCTTTGGCTGTTTAAAGGAGAAAGATGAATTTGAGAGAATTTGCCATGGAGTCCTTCTAGGGCTGCACGATACAGACAGATTAACGTATAGCATTGTATTAAGAGATGCACTGCTGTGGGACTTCTAAGCCAATACATACAGTACCTTGCAAAAGTCGGAGGCTGCGCTTCATTTATTTGGAGGTACAAGTAAATATTTCGGGACTTATTTCTGATTAGATATAAGAGAATCTGCTTGCATAAGGAAAAGGAAAGCCAAAGGAAGATCATCACCACTTGATAAACAGTACTTAAAGAAAAACCTACTTAAAGAAAAAAAGGAAACGGATGAAAAAATGCAACCAACTTCTAAGACTGAACTTTGGAGTGAACTGCGGGTTTCTTTGAAAAATGGAAAGCAAGTCTGCTGAAAAGAATGGAAGCTGTAATAAAGACAGTGCACACAGTAAATGCTGAAAATTTTGAAATTATATTTTATTCACCCAAACATTCTGTTCTTGTAGAGTATGATAAAGTCGTCAAATATTAGTTTGAAATACTGTTCAAATCTAACTATGTCCCATTCTGATAAGTGTTTTTTTTTAATAATTATCTGCCGATACCAATACGATTGCGTTGTCATCATGAATGACAAGTTATTTTCGTTTGTTGGACCACTTCAATGCCATGGTTCATCTTGATGCCCATAGAAACCTGTCTATAACTGTGATTGGTGAGGCTGTTCACAGCACAAGATAGCTCATTTGCATATTGCAGTCTTCTCCGATTAATATCACAAAAAGGGTAGTATTGTGATAACGTTTAATAGATGATATATTGTGCAGCCCTAGTTGTAACTCTAGTTAGTGGCCCTCAGCTCAGGTGTTGGCAGACTGGTGCCGTTGGCCCAAAAACAAGGGAGCTGAGAAAGGCCTTTAGCTCCGGCATAATGTACATAAATGCCTGTTTCTGTCTTTTGTCTCATTTTTGTTCCTTGAAATCCTCTTCTTCCTCCAGAGTGGCTTCAGTGAATAGGCCACCATTTCTCTTGTTGTTTCTAACTATGTGTTCTTCTCAGTGATTCTGTCCTACTATACTGCATCTTGGTAGTGATGTGTGCACCAATATTTCTAATAATATTGATATATATAAAAGAATAAACAAACATAGGCCTATATATATATATATATATATATATATATATATATATATATATATATATATATATATATAATATTATGTTTGTTTAAAGAAAGCGTACAAACTGAGTTATCATGCAGGGATTTCTAAGCATAAACTGTGGCTTTCCAGGCAGTTGGCGACCAGCGGACTGGAATTTTTCACAAAGCTTTTGTGTTTGTTTGTTTCTGAACTTCTTAAACCAGGGCAATACAGCGTCGTTCATGTTTACCTCCTTTCTTGACTCAAAAAAAGTATTCTGCTGTTTTTTGTTTTTTTTTTAATCGGGGAAGGGGGGGATCACAGAGCTCTCCTACAGAGGGAGCTGTGCGGACACATTGACAGCTCAGCTCAGTTTTACAGCTGAAAGACAGGAGTGAGAGCAATAACAGTAGTCTTTTAATCACAGAATATAAAGGACATTAACATTTCTTCACAGAAGAGACTCCAAACAGTGGTCAGATTTTGATGTCCATTACAGGTGGAATTTTCCTTTTTTTTGTTTTTTTTTTTTTTTTTTTGCACAGAGAGAAATTTAAAACATTATATAAAGGAATGATGGGCTTCCAGTTTTTAATGATGAATACAGGCTCACCGGTTTGGTTTCTTTTCGACTGGTGCAAAATTTAAAATTTCAACGTCTTTGGAAATGTTGAAAAAAACCACAAAGTGTACTTAAAGTAGTCTCGTAGCTACAAAAAGTGAATGACGAAATCAGTTAAACTGCAGAGAAAGCCCTTTTTAAAAGTTGGTTTGTGGAAATTGTTGGCTGCTTTGACTTTGCCAAACTGAAATCATGATTGTGTTGTAGATAGTGTTGTAAAAAAAAAATACACACACACGCACACATAAAAGAAACATGATCCAGTGCTTCTTGTTGCTCTGACGTCTACCAGTGGCATGCTAACAGTGACTGTAGTAGGCTAGTCAGTCCCTTCATCAGAGCGCATTACCTCTCAACTTGCAGCTGCAGATTCTTCTGTAAAGCTTGTTGTTTTTGACTTGTTAGTCTGTCAGTCTGTCAAAGGTTTGGGGACAAAGAGCTTTTCATTTTAACGTTAGTGCTTTCTGTGCAGTAACATTTTAAATAGAAAACTCTTTAGATCTTGCCATTTCTTTTTTGCAGAAACTGCAAAAAACTAAAGGTGGCAAATCAAATTTGATGTAACTAATCAGCCAAGACATGTTTGGTGTCCAGGTTTTGCTTCTTTAGTTTAACACTGGAGCTACAAGGCTAATGTTGCTAACAAGCACTAGAAGTCAGTAGTCACCCAAATCTTACTGTAAATTTCTAGATTACATCAAACTGTATCCTGGTCTTTAATAAGCCGCACAGACTTCTTGATGGTTCAATGTTCGCCTCGATGCTCCAGGGCTAAACCAAGGAAGCAAAATTTGGTTGGCAAACATGTCTTGGCTGATTCACTACATTTGGATTGAGTTTCTTACTTACTTGAGTAACAAGTAACAGTGGAAAACAAATGTGTAAATTATTTTTTTAAAAGTCAAAGAGTGTCTCCAGACTGTTAACAGGCAGTGTATATGGAGTACAGCAAGATTCTTCATTTCTTTTAACTGCTGGAAGCAAAAGCTTTGTTTTTGTTTGCTTGTTTGTTTTATTGTTTATTTTACAGCACATAGCAGCGAGTCTCAAATCAACCCATCAGCTCTCCTCTATCCCTGTGTCTGAAGTATGAAAATATCAAAAAATGTTTTCTTTCACTTATGAAGGTCATTTGACCAATAATATCTATGTGGATATAACGATGTAGAAGTGCATATTTGAAGGAGTTTTTTGGTTGTTGCTTTTGATTTTTGTAATCTGTTGTTTAATATATCAGGCCTTTTTGTTTCTAGTTTTTGAGTTGTGATGATAATCATAATGCAGGCGATGAAGCTGTGTGTAATAAGAAGACTTCCTTATACGTAACCATGAATATGTAGCACTCAGAGGTTTTCTTTCTACATTGTTTTAGCCAAAAAAAAAGTAAAATTGTAATAATCCTCTGTTCTAAATAACTAAGTCCTATTTTTAAAAAAGTGACTCTCTCTATCTGTGTTTTGGTGCATTTTTAATGTTTCTTTTTGTATTTGGTAAGGTTTTGGTTTTATATAGCTGTTAAGTTTGTTTATTTTAGGGGTATGGTGTAATGCAACATGTCCTAAACGTGTCCTGTAGAATAAAGTGGAATTTAAACTAAATGACCTTGTTGTGATCATTTGTTGATCTGCTTTGTGATTGGCTCTCACAGTCGCAGCACATCTGGATAATTTTCATGAAACTGCTTCAAACCAAGTACATAAATATGAGTGTCATCATCATCACGCAGATAAACAGCAGAAATAAAGCTTTGTAGATATACCTCTGTTAAATCATTCAAACCTTTTGGCACTGAGCGTGTTTACATGCACTCGATAATTCAATATAATCGGATTTCTGCAGTTATCTGATTGTTCAAATGGTCATGTGAACACCATACTTTGATTAACAAATCCGATAAAGAGAGCTGGATTTTAGCTCAGTAATCCGATTTCTCAGTGCATGTGAACTCTTACTCGGATTTCTTTCGGATTTCTCAGTCTGAGATTGTGATTGTGCGAAAACAGACTGCAAACAGATGAAACGAGCAAGCAGCGTTGCCGCGAGATGGCAACAAAACATTTTTGGAGCGCGCTGAAACCAACTACAGGCTTGATGAAATGAAGGATTTGAATATTCTTCATCTTCTAGATGATGTATGTTGATATTTCCAGGTCAAGTGGTGCGATGTTTTTTTTTAAGCCGCAGCATTAAGTTTGAATTTTACA